GCCACCCCCCATGGTGCGGCTGTTCCCCGGGGCAGGGACCCTCTGGCAATGCCCAGACCTGCCCACTGTGCTCGGGCCCTGCTCCAGCGGCTCAGCCGGAGCCCCGGCTCCCTGGACACCGGTCCCCACTGAGACCAGCCCAGCTCCATCCTCTGTGCAGCCCCCCTGCAGGGAGGTGAAGGCTGCTATTCAATCCCCCTCGGTCATCCCTTCTCCAGACTCAATCAGCCCAGGTCCCTCTTCCTCCCCTCACCAGTCCTGTCCCCCAGCCCCCAACCATTTCCATTGCCCTCCGCTAGAGTCTCTCCCCCTTGTCCACATCCTTTCTGTAGTGGGGGGGGGGGCCAAAACTGGACACAGGACTCCAGCTGTGACCTCCCCAGTGCTGAACACAGGGGAAGAATCACTGCCCTCCATCTGCTGCAACGCAGCAAAAAGGACTTTTTGTTATCCCTAATTCTGGATTCTGGTCGCCAGCCCTGGCTCCATCTCTGCCTTGGCCATCCTAGCCGCCTCCCTGCAGTCCCGAGCAACGGAGGTGTGATCCTCCTTGGTGATAGCCCCTTGCTTCCACTGTTTCTACACCTCATTTTTTGCCCTCGGGCATCCCTGGATGCCTTTCCTGAGCCAAGGGGGCTTCTTAGCACTCCTGCCCGCCTTGGTGCGCATTGGGACCGACTCCCTCTGAGCTTGGAGGATCGTCTCCCTGAGGAACGACCACCGGTCCTGGACGCCCATCTCACGCATCTCCAACGTCTCTCTGACTGATCTCCTTAGCTCATTGAAGTCGGCCCTCCTGAAGTCAAGTGTTTTTGCTTTATGGCTTTCCCCCCAGCCCTGGCTGCTGGACACAGCTCCACATGCCCCAAGCTGGGCAGATGACTTCGCCTGGGGCAGCATTGGTGCACGCTGCTCTCTGCCCGGGCTGCAGCAGGCCCCGGGAAGACCCGTGGACAGTGGAGGGGCATCAGGCTGCAGGTTTACACCACATTGCATGGACACCCTGCAGCCGCCCGCATGGCCCCAGGCCCACAGCAGCCCCCGCCTGCTCCTTGCCTCGGCCGGACTCTGCGCTGCGCCGCGCCGCGCCGCGCCGGGTCCCATGGAAACCTGCCCCCTCGTTACTGCAGCTGGTGTCATGGCAACAGGCCCAGGGGACCGGGGCTGCCCTGCTCATCCTCGCAGGAAGGCAGGAGCAGACCTCCCGGGCCCGGGGGGATTGGACCTCGAGCAAAAGAGCAAGATCCTGCAGGCAGAGGAGGTGGAGCAGCGCCCATGAGCCCAGGCAGGCTCCTGCCCCCAGCTGTTGCTGGCGTCCAGGGCAAGCAGGACAAGCAAACGCCAACCCCCCGCCCAACCGCCCCTCGGCACTGCTGGCAGACCCGTGCACCCGGCCACGAGAGGCAGAGCCCCCGGGCTGGGGTTACCAGACCTCACACTGGCCCAGGCCCCTGCACGGCAGAGACAGGGTCAAATCCATGCAAGACAGGACCGCGCCGCCCGCCACGGCCACAAACCTGCTGAGCTGCGACCCGCGCCTGCCCCGGCTTGCTTTTGTGCCGAGCGGGGTCGTTGGGTTCTGCGGCTCTTCTCCTCCTGGGGACGGGACTTGCCGTGCTTCCTGGTCTACCCTGGTCCAGGCTCAGCCAGCCGCCCTCACGCTCCTCCCATGCTTTCCACGCAGCCTCCTCCGTTCTCGTCCCAAATTTAAAGGAGTCTTTGGGGCACAGACGACCAGAACTGCCCGCAGCTCTGGATGGGTGTGGACCCAGCAGCCTCTGCTACGGCCCCATGTTCCGGTGCTCAACAAGGAACCTCAGCAATGCTGAGGCCTCCTTGGCCGACTCTTCACAGACTCTTGGGTGCCGTTTGGTGGGGCAGTCGACAGCGCTCTCCTCTGGCAGATGCTGCAGGAGCCAACTGAGCAGCTAGTGCTTCCTGCTCCCGCAGTACTAGCGCCAGGGCCTGCCACCCCAGGGATGGGGGCCCTGCCCAGACCCAAGCTGCTGGCATTTGCCACCCTTCCCCCTGCCGCAGCGCACTGGAGGCCTCGGCTGCCATGCCTGGTGGCGCTGGCTGTGGCTCCCGGAGGGGCCAAGACGGAGGCAGGGCCATGGCCATGGATGCAGCCCGGGAGGGTACAGG